ATGTTCCTCCTGGCACTATGCCCTGGGGTGCCATCGGATATGCCAGTCGAAAGGTAGTGTACAGAGTACCGTACCGTACATCACATCCAGCCTATCAATCGATGCGAACGAGTACGAGAGAGGTGAAAGGTAGCGCCGCAGCCGTCAATATGGCGCTTTCCCATCACAGATCACACACACACATGCTCATACATACAGGTAGAGTACTGTACTTTCTTCACGAGAACGGACCCCTGCTCTTATTATTGGCAAATAACTGTAGGTACCGGTCGATATATCCCTCTTTGAGACCTGACTGGGATAATGTTTGACAAGTGTATGTCAACGGCGGCAAGCGTTTCATGAGCTGGGGCGCCATTGTCAGCCACAACGAAGCTGTTTCTATCTTGTCAAGCGACTGTCTTGGTCATATTCACCTGGAGCAGAGGTGATGCGTGTGGCAAGCAATCCTGGTCGCTCAATTGAAGTATGCAGGTAAATCTGCTCTCGTCAGCTTGGGGCAGAACATATGAGACGATAGGCTATCAGAACAAGCTCTCCCCTGAGACATGAATGCATTGTAACGTGCAGAAGTCATCCTCGTTGCTTGCTTGTCGATAGCGACTGCGTACATGCATGACACTAGTCTCGCGTTCCTGTGGTCACGATGTTGGCCAATATACCTGATGCAGTTGGATCAGATCTGGGTCTTTGGACACTTTGCTTGCTCGACTTGTAAATAAGTCATTCCGGTGAGGGGCTAGAGATCAGAGTACTGAGATGGGGCGGGCTTATGTTGGAATTGAAGTGACTTAGATACAGCGCCAATTAAGGAGCTTATCCTTAGAATATGGCTCTTGCTCTGCAAGGACGGCTAACCCACGACCTATCACGTTGACATAGGGCAACCGACAATCGTAAGCATTCAACATGCTTCTGGATCAATTACTGCAGGACATATGGTCAGCTTAGCGTAACCGTCAGCTCACGGATGTAAGTCACCTGGTCCACATAATCCAGTCAGAGCCGTTCGACATGAATCATTCTTTCCACCATTCACGACCATTTGTTCACACATGGACTATTACTGGATCAGACGCTCGATTCCGTATACCTTATACCGTCGGCTCAATCTCGAAGAGGTCAATATACTGGGTTTAATCACAGTCCATCAGAGTGTATGCTTTAGAGTATGTGCTTACAGTATGTGCTTGTCGCTACGGCCAAGACACTACTGCGTTCCAAAAGGCAGAAGGCAAAATCACGACAGCCAGGCACACAGTCTCTATCAGACAACTAAGCTATCTGTCCGGCCCAAGTTGTGGATGTTCGAAAGAGCCATTCAGAACCTCCGAATAAGTGACCACATCCATACCACTCATCGAACATCTACTCACCCCAAGCATGAGGAGCTATTCTTCCCCCCGGGTCTCAGGCCCAGCTCCTTCAGCCCTACTCATCACAGTCAACCAGACAAGGCTTCTTCCTCTACACGCGCCCAGCCCCCCTCAGAGTCAGCTCAATCCGACTCAGAAGTAGATCACTCTCCAAGCTAATTCATACCCTCAAGCCCAAGCCACCCCAGAGCATATCGACATAGCGCTGACGAAGATCAGCACAATCATCAGCCACCACCAACTAAGCCCTCGAGTGCGTGAATAATTCATGTCAATCCCCTTGGTTTGCACAAGAATACCAAGCGAATCCACCAAAAGGATCTCACCGAGTTTGCTCCGAATAAACTCATCCGGTTGACCCCGTTCCACCGAGCCCCATCCCTGCAGGGCCCAAAACAGAGCCCGACAAATCATCCGACTTCGTCCCTCCAAGATTCCCGCGCCAGTTGCTGGAGATAGAAGATCTCCCCCAGTATCAAGGCCTGATGTCACACTGTTTGCCCGCCACGTGCTTCATGGCATAAGCATGGAGTAATCCTCGGCCTGCATGGAAGACTACCGATGGGGGCGTGGCGGGGTTTCAGATAAACATGTTGATGTTCTTCTAGTGATTTGGGAGGAGGCTTGGCTTGCAATTTATGCTCGGAGACCCCGGAAGGCGATGAATGGCTCTTAGTCAGAGTTGGGGCGAAGTGGGCTTGCATTGGTGATTGCGGTGGTGATGAAGTGGGATTCCGTGGACTGGAGTTGAGGTACAGTACATAGTACAAGCGAGGTTTGAGGGTTTCGAAGGATGTGCTGATGCTTGACATGTGAGAGTTGTCTAGCCGGGTTGGTCTGGTCTTCACAAACAGAAGGTTTTGGTGGAAAGGGACTACTACGCGTAGATGGTGATGTGATGGTGGCGTTGAAGCAATCTGCGATCCTCCTCATCAAGTCTAATCTCCGATTTCATGCAGGTTCTTATCACAGTTCCATCGATACTGCCTTGATGTCTATGGGCTAGTGCAATTCTTTCGGACCGATGGACGTTCGGGAAGACTTGATTTCCCGGGCACTGCCATCTCGCATCGAGTTATGGCACCGCAGTACGACAGACCCAGCCTGGGACACGACCAGCTCGGCTGTAAGACATCAAATATCAAGCACTGAAAGCTCACACGCATCCGAGACTGCTCCAATCATCCATCTCACCGAGAGACAACGAGGGGTCAAGTTGCGCAAGGCTCACCACCAATGAACCTCGGACCAAGTCATCGTCAGAAACTCCCACCCCTGGTAGTACGGGGATATAATAAGCTTAAAGGAGAATTTTCAACACGAGGAGGAAGATGTCTTACTTCCCACCAATAACACCCAAAACTCCTTCTCGAGCAACCCGCCAATCGTATGTCACATGATCCTGCATCACCAGACCTGGAGATAGACATTCCTGTAAGGGGAAGATGCATTGAGAACAGGGACCAAGGAGGAATGACTGGAGGGAAGGGTGCATCCCTCACAGCCTTACTATTAGACGCGCAGCCCACATTGCCTACCACTTGATGTTGAAACTGAAATGACCAATTTGTCCCGCATGGTCTGTCATCGCAACGTAGGGGCAAAGGCATCTACTGAGTGAGGAAGATGACCGAGCGACGAAATTCAGACCGACCTTTCTCTTGTAGCCCAAATCATGTATTTGCGATAGCAGTATGTGCACCCAGAGAGTAAACCGGCATAGAACCGGCGCAGTCTAGGTAAGTTTAGTGGTATAGTCCGAGCCAACTATAAGAGGACGAGACATAATCGCAATGGCTTGATTGCCTATTTGTGTAGATAGATCGGCCATCGACTATTGTCCTGAACGGCGACCATGACGTTTATGAACCCCGTTCCCTCCATCATCCCACCATCACTCTTTCTCCGATGCGCCCACAATTGAATCATCCATTCGTACTTATCCGTAACAAGATGAGCGGCGACACTGCCAGGCACCAACCATCCTTCCATCCAACCAACCATTCCAAGACACCAACAAAAGAAAAAAAAGTGGCACTCACTCACCCGCTGCTGATTCATCGAAACGATGATCCCGATCATCCTCTTCCTCTCTGTTTGTGCCTGGCCTGGGCTAGCCGGCCATCCCGAGCCCGTCGCGGTGGGCAGCGTATAGTCGACTCCCCAATCCAGCCATAGTCCAGCACCTGGCCAAATGGAGTTTTACCTAGCAGGTGCCCCGAACGAATTGCCATCCAGAGTCTCTTGAACTTGACTTTTTACCCCTTTTTCGTTGCATTGCATATCCCGTTTCCAGTTTTCTTGTGTTCCAGTTTGAGGTTTTGTTTCCTTTCCCTCATCCAGCTCCCGACCCTGTACAATAAATAATCTGGGAGACTATCTTCAAATCCAAAATCCGATCCTCACCACCCCACCGACCCCCCCCCCCCCCACCGACCCCCCCCCCCCCTCCAAAGACCCCCGTCCATTTATCATTTGTCCTTCTCGAACCCTTCCACTGCACAAGCAGGCGCATGAAACCAGACCAACAAACCCACAAACCCCTCCACAATCCACCATCCACAATCCACACCATCCCCAATTCAATTATTCTTGACCTCTGGCCGCCGCCGGGGGAGGGGAGAGACCCCCGGGCCCCGGAAAGATGGAAAGACTTTTTAAAAGACCACGACGCGTAAACCTAACCCCTGTTCTTCGCTTTTTCTAGGCGGGTTTCGCCTTGATTGCCGTTGCTCCGTCTCCGTGCTCCGTAGTTTAGTCTAGCGTCAGTGTGGTTCGGAAAGTTCGGTGGGTTTTTTTGTCTTGGTCACAATTCTAGAACTTTGCGTTTCGGCGGAGTGAGATTTTTTTTATTTTTTTTTTCGGGACGGGTTATCGCGCGGCTGGCTCGGTTGGGCTGGTTGGATTGATGGTTTGGTTTTGATGATGATGGTGGTGGTGGTGATGGTGATGATATGGGGGGTTAAGGTGGTGCCAGTGGGATGGATAGTGTCGGGCGTCGGGTGTCGGGATACTTGAGTCAGTATTATGCTATCATGATGCTATATACTTCTCTATATGCTCTATATGTATATGTTTGCGGAGTAGGATTCCCAGGAGTATCGACCGGTCTATGTCGCGAGATAAGTATCATGTGCAGTACATATATATTCCAGGACACACCATATAACTTCCACCGCCACCGCATACATGCAAATAGCCCAAAGCCTGCTAGCAAGGGTCGCATACCCCCATAGTAGATTCCATAAGTACAGTACAATAATCAACAACAACCCCATTATCCACGTCGATATACACTCCAAACCCCAACCCCAAAACCTGGAGTGAAGCGCAGCCTCGGCAAGGGGCATTTATCAATGGTAAACAAGCAGCAACCGCGAACCACGGGACCACCACACCCATCAGCAGGACGGGAACGAACCATGGTATTCTCGCGGTGTAGTCCAACCATCAACAAGAACCGACTTTGCCTGTCACCATCGAACTCTGGTTCCTGGCAGGTTAGAACTGCTCAATGACATATCCATACCCATACCCATACCCATACCCACCTAATTAAGTTGAATCCTGTAGTATCAGCTGGGAGGATATATTCAATGATGGCCAGTAGGGAGATATACTACGTACTAAGTGAGTCAGTATATATAAGTCACTATGAAGGCCTTCCACACTACACTACACTACACTACACGACATTCAACAAGTGCACAATACAACCAGTGTCCACCCACACCAAAACTCCCGCCCTCCACAAAACACTTTCCTCTATGCTTTAGCAGTCAGTCAACTGCCGAACCTCATAATCTACCTAACCTTCTTTCAAAAATAGAGCAGGAAAAGACTACAGTACACCCACCACCGGTATAAGTACAGTCCAAGTATCCCAGTCCATCCTGACCAGGAAACCCTGAGCGAAGACAGCGCAAAAATCCCAATCCCAATCGCAAACAACCAACTAGGTTCAGAACTCGAGAAAGAAAAGCCATCGCCTCCTGCTTCCGTGTCCCGACTCGCGAGAACTTTGTTGTTGACGGTGGGGCGAGCCCTATGTGGGTGGATTCGTTCCGTTCAACTGAACCTGGTGGCAGTTAGGTTACCCTTTGCGCCATGTGTGAGCCTAGCCGAGTATACTGCAATCATCTAGATACTAGTTACCGGTGAAAATGCACAAGCAATATCTAGGTCACGGTGAAAACGGGGGTGAGTGCCCAAACAAGGGCGACACGTTATATTGGATTCATCCGTAGAAGCGGTCAGGAGAGACTAATAGCTTACTGGTAGTGTTCCATGGAGTCCGACAAAGGCGAGAACTCCCGGTTGGAAGGGGTTGTTGAGCACGGATGTTTTCTGGATATGTAACTAAGAAATTTTTTTCTTTCACCGACTTACTGACTGCTGCTCCTACCGCTTTGGAAGTGGACGGAGGTCCCGAGGATTGCACACGGGATTGTGGGTGATGATGGGCTGTTCTTCTGGATGTCAGTCTTCGGGGCAAGGGGACGTGTTGGCGTTAATAGGTATCAATGGTTCACTTGCGGATTTACCGGTAGATGTACAGTACTTTCCACGAAAGTCGGGTCTGGAAGTCGGTCTGTGTTGGCTTCCTTAATATCTTTTCGTACAGGTTTCATTGTACTCCGTGCGGTACTTCACAAAGTACGGACGGTACATACGGTCGTTATGCATCGATAGCCGCGATGGCCTTGACTAGTGTCAAAAAGGCGAAACTGGCGGGGATCCTGCAAAGATACCTGGTGGGGTTCGGTGGTGTAGGGTAGCATACCGGTAGTCCACCAGATCACGATTGAAGATTCCAGGTTCCATCTTGTGATGGACTACGGAGTAAGTTACCGGGCGTAGGGAGGCGGTAGAACTTCTTCCGTACCTATGAGTACTAATTCACCGAGTACGAGGGACGACGGTCGATCACCTTTATTCGGTTGATGGTCGGTCTGGGTAGATCTTGCTGCATCATCGGCAACCGAAGAAAAATCCTTACGGGTAGCCGCAGCGTCAGAAGAAAAAAGAAAAGAATGCCCAAATCCAGCAAGCATTTCGACCGAGAAGTCCTTCTCTGCCGCTGGTCCTGGCTGATGGTTTGTGCAATCATCTCGATGCGTCTCAAGTTTAGGTCGGTGCTGGCCCCCTTCTCTCTCTCCCTTGCCATTCACTTGAGATGTGTTGCTCTTGGTGTCCTCTTTTGAGATGATTGAGATTCCGAGTCCGTTCAATGGTTGGGATGGATGCCGGACATGCTTCTAGCTTTTCGTTTAGACTCTCGGAAGGATGTGGAAAGTGGGTAGTTTAACAACAAAGAATGATAGATAAGCAGCATGCCCCCCTCTCCCTCACCCTCTCTCGGAGAAATAAGCCCCTCAATAGAAAAAAAAAGTCGAGGTTTGGATCCCGAATCGACCGTGAAATATGATGGATCATGGAAGGAGAGGAAAAGAGCGGGATCGGTATGTACGGAAGTTTCTTTCGAATAGGAAAAGAAAGGCCCTCTTCCCCCCCCTCCCTTCAACCCGTGCGCCAATCCAGGAGGCCGGGACCGTGGGCCGTAATTCCCGATTTCCGCAGTGGAGTTGGAGTGCTTGCTTCGATCATGAAGATCAAAGTCTGCTGAGTATCTCTGACTGGCGTGTTATCTATCTATCTCAAATCGATTCTTTTCTTCGTCCTCGTAGACGAGGCCAGTTGATGCCCTCGCAAGCAGTCAGCACAAAGTACCAGTCCATCAACACACACAGTTGACTGGGTCGGACCGCTGCATGGACCGGAAAGTGGATCGGAAAAACGGGATGTTGGTCAGGATTTGGGTCCCCTCGGAGTTCTTTCCCCTCTTCTCCCAGTGAGAAAATCCAGGCGGCTGGACGTGTAAGAATTGGCCGAGTGGTGTAGACTGTACGATTGTAGAGGTCTGACGGAATAGACGGTCTGACGGTCTGGTCGGTCTGGTCGGTCACTCACCGCTCTTATTATTGCTGCAGTCGCAGCCCAGCAGCTCCTGGCAATAATTAGCTATACAAAGCGGTGAGCGAGGCAACACACGCAGTCCGACTTTCCGAGGGACTATTTATCGCCAACTGCTAGTCTGGATGCTGCATTAAGGCATGGTACTGATCGGTTGGGCCGTCCTGGGCCCTGCGTCTAAGTAGGGCTGTCTGTCAACAATCACGGGGTGTCGATAAGAGGGGTGAAATAACATCGAGCAAGTCGCCCCGTCCCGTCCGTTCGACGATGTTGTGCAGGCAGGACCAGAACCAGAAGCAGAACCACCCTCCATGTAGGAAGATGGATAAGTAGTACGTGTACTCCGTAATGGACACATGTTCCAGCACTGCGAAGAATGATCCACAGCTTAGACAATATGTACTTCCTGATTCCTGCATGTGGTGCGGTTGTCTTGGATCTGGATAGATTGAAGTTGAACCGACCCGATGAATACTAGATACAATGCCTCTCTTCAATAATCAATAGACTGCCGGTGGATAGCCTAGTTCTTTCGCGGGGTACTTTTGTACTTCCCAGTGGGTTGTTCCCACTTTTGATGGTCATGTGTGAGTGTGTTCCCCTAGTAACTCAGCCCGCGTCGGGGTCCATAAGAGACGCCCCACATACCGGGATTTTACGGGAATCTCTCGTCGTGGTGAGAATAATTGAGATGAAGACTGGAATCAATTATCCCAGTCCTTCCTGCTGGCGAGAGGAGGGAAGGGCCTTGAACTCGTCCTGGTATGGCATGACTTGAACCATGATCCGACGTGCAAGGAAAGATGGAGAAGAAGCAACAAACCAAGCGCGAACGGAAAACTGGGCATTGATAAGATTGGAGGATAAGAGCCAGAACCTGGAGAGTCATCCACGATCATCATCTGACCTTAAGGAAGAGGAGGAGGAGGTGATGCTGCTGAAGATGATGATGTATAGCTTCTCTTTCATCCAATGTGGACCAAAGCGACTGACTGACGCGGAACAAGGGCGCGTCTCCGAGTGAGGCTGGTTAGGCGCGACGGCGGACTTGCTTGGGGGGGGGAACTTACAGGCAGCCATGGATGATGACCTCGATGATGATTGCCCTGCCACTAAGGAAACTGTCGCTCCGAGACTAAACTACTCACTAAACTCACTCGGTACAAACCCATAAAACGAAGGCCCTGTTCGCCCATGCCACGGCTGCAGATGGGACCAGACTAGGTCGGCGGGCGATGCTAGGTCGATGCATCTCTGGCTTGGATGCAGAATTGCCAAAAACAGAAACAATAGTGTTTGGTGTGATGATGATGATGATGATGATGATGATGATGCAGTCATGCAGTTCCAAATAAGGGCCAGCTGGGTCGCGCCGAATTTCTTCGTTGCTTTCCTGATGTGTATGTACTTACTGTACAGTATGCCCAGGTTGAAGGGAGGGGTATCGTGGTGCCCTCCATGCGCGAACACACCACACAAGACACATACTGGAGCAGCCACACTGGGCATATCTGAAACCGAGTACTACGTAAGAACAACAAAGCCAATCGCTGTGGCGAACGACGACGACCCGAAAAGAAGAAAGTTGAGTCGTCCTGTCGCGTACCTGAGTCTTCCTTCTGCGGATGGCACTGCGCGCAATGCTGATCCAGCTGACCTTAAGCTGAGACGGCGGGAGGAGGGGAGGCAAAAATTGTGAGAAAAAAACATCCTCGCAGGATAAGTAAAGGAGAACCGTACGATGTAGGCGGGCTGAATAGCCTTTCGCACAGTCAATGCACTTCCTTTTCTGGTCGGGGCAACATCGAATGCGCCGAATGCACTTCACAGCCCATTAATCTTCTGAATGAATACTCGAGTTAGATGTGGATACACTGACTCCCGATGGAGCGGGTGGTGATCTGTCAGGCTGAGAGGCATCACATCGTCAGCAAAATTCTCCTATTGCTGCGTGGTGACGGGTAGCTGTTGTTGAGTTTCTTTGCATTCCTTTTTTTTGTTTTTTGTTCTTTTTTTCGTAGTTCGAAAAGCTAGCTAAGTATGCTTTGAATGAGGAGACTGTTCAGGATGAATGACTTGGCACAAGGAGTCGAGAGATTTCCCATATACCTTTATCCCTACATGGTTGCGATGCGATGACTGTCCAGATATCCATAGAACACGGTTGAGACTAAGATTAACAGCAGCAGCAGCAGCAGGATCCCTCGTCATGGTGATGGAGATGGAGAAGGTCTGGAACAACGGCCGCTCCTCGGTCCTGTCTAAGATCCACCTGACTAGTTCAACTCTGTAGGAGTCACTTCCAATTGGTGCGCATATGGATCAAATTCACAAGAGAGTCAGACACAGAAATCTTAGATGCCGTTGCTAATGCTCAAATCCGAAATCCGTGTTCCGGACTCGACGGAGTGTCGATTATTGCCGTCATCCTACAGGGGAACTCCGAACACTCGGGGACGGAGTGTAGATGTATTACTGATTTGGTGCTTTCGGAGGGGTAAGTAGGGTTTCCAAGGAGGGGTGAGAGGGACGAGAGGGACATATCAGTCAAGAGGGGAACTCAGATGGGAACAGAAGGAGGGGGGATCCAACCTCAAGAGGGACAGGAGGGGTAGCTGGGAGTGGCGGGTTCCATTGTTTCTCCGTCATGCTGCTCAGAAAGGAGGGGGAATGGAAGGAACCTCGATGAATCAAACTCACCAAACAGAAAAACCAAAAATCAAATGAGAATGACAATGCAGGAGGAACCAGGATGATCGATATATCGATTCTCAACCTTGAATCATGCTGGATTCTTACTGAGCAACATAATAATGGACGCCCGTTCGGTCCAAGCAGTCAGTCCGCTTAGCCTGTGTGGGAAAAGAATCCCAGGTGGAAATGAAGGGAGAGAACACACGAATCATGTCGGCACTGTTCCTCCGTGGCATTCAAGCGTCGGTGGCATCCTTGTTGGAGGGGCAAGGGGGGGCTGACGAGGGGCGAGACGAAAGAAGAACAAGTGGGAAAAAAAAATAAAATCTGAAAAAGGAAAAAGAAAATAAATAAAATTAAATAAAAAGCGAAATAAAAGAGACAAAAGGGAAAGAGGGAGGGAGAGAGAGGGGCCAGGTGCGTGTGATTTGATTGATGATTATCGCAGCACACACACACTCTCTCTCACACACAGAGAGAAAAGACAACCACCGAGAAAGAAGAGAGACGGAAGGACGGAGAGACGGAGAGGCTGGCTGGTCTAACCTTCTTCAGCTTTGCTGTAGCTCGAGTATTTTCGCGTCCTCCCCTCTCTCACTGTGGAGCTTTCGCACGCAATGATCAAAGATACAGCAATTGGAATTGTATTCAAATTGATTAAGATGGGCGCTGTATCCATTCCCACCATAAGTTAGTCACTACTACAGTAAAGTACTGTACTTTACTTGCAAAGTACCCTTTCAAAGATCAATCAATAGATAATGGATTACAATCTGACTCTTGTGGTGAACGGCCCCGCAGTCACCGACCGGGCTGGAGTACGTACCACCCAAATTGTGGCCGTGGTGGGCTGTCAGATAGGGGGGGGGGGGGGGGTGGAGGGGAGATAGAAGGAGGGGCGGGCGATAGCTGAGTACTAAAGAATAGAGATAGGGATGCGATGACTTCGATAATAATCACTTGGTAGTGCCCTAGACCTTACTTGCCCCAACTGACGTTACTTAGACAACTCGAATATTCTTGTTCTTCACTTGCTTGCTGCTGCTGCAGCACCCACCCACCCAACAGAGTTACATACCATACCGCTTTGAAGCTGCTCTCTCATACCAAGCCGAACCCCACAATAACAATAATGAATTCATCGTCACAGAAAAGAGACCCCGGGTCGAAGACGGAGAACCAACCAATGCAATCGAGAAATGCACAGAGGATCCAGAGGATCCAGAGGCTCCCTCAGACTCTCAGTCAGCTAGTGGTTGCTGCGAGTCCTCCTTAGGCTACCTTCTAGGGTTAGGTCGCAGGTGACTGCCGCTGAACGGAGGTTCCGTCACTAATCAAAACAGGGATAGGGTGCTAGGAGCTACTACATTATGTAGGTATAGACAACAATCTAATCACTATCGCATAGGCTCTGGCTGGAGACTCTGGATCAATTCCAGATCTAAAGAACCGACATCCATGATCATCTACATATTATGATCAGGGGAGAGAAGAAACATGTAAAATGCTGCCCGATGTTATGCATATAGGGAGTCAAGTTCTCCCATGCCAGAACAAAAGAAACAACCCAAAAAAACTCGGATCAATTTTAACGGATGTTGACAGGTTCTTTTTCTTTGCCTGGTGTGCGTTTTTTTTTTAGGATTTTTTTTTTGCTTTTCACTCATACTGGCTGTGTGTAGCGTAGCGTAGCGTGTAGTGCGGAGAGGGAAATTGAAGAGTGGATATAGATGAATGCTCCCTCACATCGGACTAAACTAACAAACGGTCGATTCAGCCAGACGAAAGGACAAGCAGGACCCCCCGGCTGAACCGGGTTGACGGGTTGGAAAGTGTCCATGTGGGTTTGGGAAGAGGGAGAGTCCACTTGAAAGTATCCATCCACCGTCCAGTCTGTGACTCTGGCTTCGGTAATTGGGGGGAGAAAGACCAGAAAGACCAGAAATTATGGGTCAAGGAACTCTAGGAACTTTAGAGCAAAGGACGTGTCCTAAGCGGGATTGGGGATAGTGCGGTGACGCGGGTTAGTCAGAAATCCAAAGGAACTAACTTAACTCACTAAATAATTGAAAAAGTGGCAATAGAGGAATGCAGTGCGTGCCTGTGCCGGAAGACCGCTCAAATCGCTTGATTTTGCAACCCCCTCCGTCAGTCCCGCCGGGAAACGAAGCCCCTCTTTTCCGCCTCCCACTTCCCTGTTGTTGTGGTTCTCCTGCGCTGCTCGTCGCCCAAATCAACTGCCAACACCGACTGCTGGCCACGACCGCCTCACTTGTCGCGATCCAGCGATCGCCCAAATCTTCCTTCCCCCATCATCAGCTTGTGCCCACGTCCTGTCGCGACTTGCTCGCACTTCCCCCCTCCCCTCCCCTCCCCTCCCTCCCCTTCCCTTCCTTCGACCCAGACTCTCCCTCTGTCTGTCTGTCTGTCTCTGTGTCTCTCTCCCTCCCGCAAATTCGCACCGCACTCTACTTTCTCCTCATCCATTCACCATTCAATCTTCCCCCTCCCTCCCTCCGTCCCTCGTCCCTCTTACCCATTCTTTTCTTCCTCTTCTTTTCTTCTTCTGTCTTCCTCCCTCTTTTCTCCTCCTTCTCTCTTAACGTCTTTCCTCCCCCTCCCCTCCCCTCCTCCTCTTCTTTTCCCTTCCCTTTCCCCTCTTCCCTCCCCTCCTACTGGGTCATTATTCAACATCTTGCTCGCTTTCTCTTCCGTTACTTCTTCTGGGTCTTTCTCTTTCCTCTTTTCACAGCCGATTTTCGCCATCCTGGCCGTCCACGCCACTTTCACGATTCCCCTCTCCTAATCCGCCTGTGGCTGGATAACTTCAACCCTTCCCCTCATCCCTTCGAGTTCAACCTACGCTCTTCTTCAAGATACCCCCACACAAGGAATGACCAGACAACAAACCGAATCCTTGTCGTCTACCCGTCTTCAGAATCGGTGTGAAATCACGAAAGGAACGATAGCGCAATCTTCGCAGTCGAACCTGTTCCATTGAGATCCAGCCTCCGTGCCCTTGGTTTCGCCGCCCGCCTCTTCACCCATGGCTCCCAGCGCACCCAACCCGGCGGCCTCCGCACCCGTCAAAAAGACGTCCGTCCCAGAGAAGAAATACAAATGCCAATTTTGCAATCGCGCCTTCAGCCGAAGTGAACACCGCAGCAGACACGAACGATCGCGTAAGTAGTCTACACAATTTCTGGTTGAAAATTCTTGTGATGAGTTGGCTGCGCTGATCCTAGTGGCGGTGTGAGGCTAATTCTGGTTTTGACCCACAGATACCAAAGAGAGACCCTTCAAGTGCTTAAAATGTCGGAGCACCTTCGTGCGTCGAGACCTTCTTCTTCGACATGATCGTACTGTCCATGCCAAAGATGGTGGCATTCCACTAGTGTCCGAGGGCAGGCGACGCGGTGGCGCAGGTGTGCGAAAGACTTCCCCCACCTCCGGCCCCGCCAGCAAACCCTCAGTCACAGTCGATCCTACTACGCTCGAACAGATCGAGGCAAGCAGTGATGGTATGGTCGATCTTGAAACTGCAGCCATGTTGATGACAGATTTCCAACACAAGGCTGCAGCCGCTGCGACTGGTCAATCCAACGATCGTGCTGATTCCGATCGCTCATTTTCCCCCGGACGCGGTTCGTTATTAGAGCCTTCGGTCGGGTATCTGTCTGGAAACGCGACACTCCCGCAAATGCCCTGGGACACCCTTGTCTCGCCGGCTGATACAAAGCACTCGATGGGGTCGCCCTTCGCGTCCCACGATGGTGGAGCCGATTCGCATCCACTCCCGTCAGTGATGGATCGGCACGGTCCCGTAGGCGATGGTTTGGCTCCCTCGCTCCACTCTCTGGTCAACTCGCTCCCCATGTCGGGAACCTCGACGCCGAATGCTTTGTCCCCGTATCCTTCGATGACGGGTCCTGTCAGCCCTGTGAACTACCGTAGATCCCCTGGTCCCAGCCAGGCCTTGACACTGCCCAAGGCTCCTCAAATCGCCAGCGAAACGGAGCGGAACATGATCATGGACCGCCTAGAGGATGCCGACTCGCTTGGTGTACTGCCCGACTCATTCCAGCTGCCCCCCACATCTGCACTCAACAAGTACCTGTCGACGTATTTCAACCTGTATCACCCTCATCTTCCCTTCCTGCACCAGGAGTCCTTCCAGCCCGCTGAAGTCTCGGCGCCTCTGCTTCTCGCGGTTCTCTCTATCGGTGCTTTGTATACTTTTGAGAGGAAGGACGCGTTTATGCTTCATGTGGGGTCCAAGATGCTGGTCAACCAATTCCTGCAACACAAGGAAAACTTTGACTCAAGAAAATGTCCGCTGTGGGCGATGCAGAGTACCCTTCTCAACATGATCTTCGAGAGTTGGAGCGGCGACCCAAAGGGACTGGAGTGGACTTGCTCCATCAAGAGTCTTTTGGCCAATGTGAGTTCTCTGTTAGTCCAGAGGTTTAGTTGCTTGTACTGATCGATTATAGATGGTTGCTGGAAATCGCTATCAACTGAAGCTTCGCACTGAGGGTCGTGAGGGTATCCCTTCCAGAGAGGATTGGATTGAGGATGAGTCTTGCCGCCGTACCTATTTCGCAGTCTACATCTTCTTTGGCATGCTCACCTTGACTTTCAATCACACCCCAGCGATGAGCTTCGACGAGTTTGACAATCTTGAGCTCCCTTCTTCCGAGTCTTTGTGGAACCTCGATGTGACCGACGACGACGCTTGGCGCCGGAGCCTGGCCAATGCTTCCACCTTGACCGTTCGAGAAGCCCACGATTGTCTTTTCCAAGGCGAGCAGACCCGATACAGTGCATTCGCCACACGCGTTCTCATCAACGCTCTGTTTCTCCAAGTGTGGAACCACAAGCGCAGTTTCGAGGCTCTGCAGGACGTGGTTACCGAGTACAAGCTTCGCCTCGCTTTGGAAACCTGGGAAAGCTCTCTTGAAGTCTGCGAGCCGGAGACGATGGTGGTGCCCCTCAGCACCCCTCAGAAGGGCCACCCTCTGATCTTCAACTCGATGGCGGTCTACCGAAACACTCGCGCTCGCCTGGAAGTGGATCTCAAGTCGATCCAGGAGGCTCTGCGCTACCACTCTTCGTACGAAGTGGCTGCTGCCATGACGGTGGCCCGCGAGAAGGTCAAGCGGTCTCAAGAGATGAACAAGGTCATACAATCGTGCTTCGAGTGCATCGAAATAGCGGCCGTTCAAGGTATTAACTGGGTGGCGCAGACGTCTGCCACGAACTGGAGCGTCGAGCACCCACTGTGTGGCTTGGATTTGATGGTGATCCTCAGTCTCTGGCTCTATCGCCTGGAACATGACGAAGAGCCAGCGACCGAGGCGGAAATTGCCATCTACAACAAGGTGCGGAATCTGTTTGACGATGACGCCGTCGATGCTTTTGGTAAACTCAGCTCTACCGTGGCCCGTGTATGGGGTAATATCCTAGACGGTGTGGTAGTATGGGGGTAAGTCATTCAATTCTGGTTTCGATTGACAGTTCAAGTTACTAACTTTCGAACAGCATTACCAAGCTCATGGGCGAGTCATTCAAACTCCATTCGCAAGCCTTGATCGGCTACGAGGATTCGTTGCGCGTTGCCAAAGACCAGCCTATTCATGCAATGCCTCCCAAGACGTTGGCCAGTGTGGGAACGGCATACTAATGCTGCACATGCCACGGCCAAGGTGACCCCGGTTGCGTGAAACACATACACTTCTCTACATTCATTCAACATCATATTTGGGACACTGGATTTCGGTTTAGGGTCGGGAACGGATGCGCAAGTCTGGGCGGCAAGATGTGATTTCCGGTGACGAACTCAACCGCCGCATAATGATTCCTTGCTGGCGTTCCCCGGCTCCTTTTCATTACTTTTACTTTTCTTTCCCCTATCATGCGTTATGGTTCATATTTCTATTGGTTTTGCAAGAGCTCACGGGAGTCCGGTGTGGTCATTTTCTTGTTTTGATGGGTTGATTTTTCCCAGGCAACATCTCGACACCCGGCTGGTCCTGTGTGTTCTTCCCTCGCACTCGGTGGAGTTGTTGTTTTTTTGTCTGCTTTCTATCTGCTCGTCTACACCCTTAATTCTTAGTGCTGTCCGTTCGATTCTTGCGCATGAGCGTGTTTGGTTTTCTTTCTTTGGGGTCCGAGACATGTTGTCTTTGACTGCTTTTTCGATACCTTCTGTCCGTTATATACTTCTTTTCTCTTCTTCTCTCTTAGTCCTTCGTTGACATACACTTGTTCTCCCCTACTTGTTGATGCCATCTTAATGTGAGCTTGCGTGCTGTTCATGTGATTAACGCGTCCCCGCCTGTTGATTGTTTTTTCGCTCTATCGTTCTGCTGCTTTGGGTTTGTCCTATTCGCATGTTGCGATCTGAATATTCTTTTTTCTTTTTCGATGTTGATTCTTTCCGCACTGTTGCACATGCTTAATTGGTTGTAGTTTGTTCTGTACAATAAGTAATTTGCACACAAAATATAAGTATTTGGCGGGGATTACAGCTCGGTAGTTGTAGTAGTTCGGTGGTTGTAGTATGATAAACCTGTCCTACACCTTGGTCATCTGCATGATTAAACACTATGACTATATTTATGCCCATAACTCCTTCTCAATCATATGTACACTTTGACTAGGGGGGGGGGCGTTCAAGAACAGACAGGCTCAAGGACCAGTCAATAACCACAAAAAATCCCAAAAAACCCCAACACGAACGTCGCCAGCGGGGAACGCAGGCACTCACGCATTCCGCCATCGGGAGAGGTACGTAGTAGCGCGTCCCGCAGCCGAGCGGGGCGAAGACGACGGCGTCTTGGGGCCCAGGGGTAAAGAGTTAGGGATGGTAGGCCTAGTTGTACGAGGATGCCGAAGATGGAGAAGAAGGGTCAGATAAATGGGGGTGGTGAGGGTTGTGAAGGTGGTGGAATGGGGATGGGGCGTGCCGGGGGTTGTGTAGGTGTGTCTTCGGTGGGCTTTGCGCGACCTTGTTGGGGGGCATGGGCGGTTGTGGGAGGGGTGGCGCTGGCTTCAGTGAGGGCACTGTCAGGTATCATCATTGCTTTGGTTGTTGTGGTTGTGGTTGTGGTTGTGGTTGTGATGCCATCTCGGCGTTCGGTTTGCGACAGGAAATTCGGAGCGGAGAGAAGTCCGGAGAGACAGAAGACAGAAGACTATGGAGGTGGGGTCGGTGGAGCACAGGCTGGATTCTGGTTCGCTGGGCGAGATCGACGGGGTATACCTGGGGATTTAAGATAACGATTAACCAGAGAGAGATCATGATAAACAACTTATCAGTGCGGACTCCGGAGATATCCTCACCTGAAGGAACGATAGGCGATAGACGATAGACGATACAGTGAATGCAATCAATGGCAGAGTGAATGAGGAAAGGAAGAATGCCTGAGGATCAGCGGACCAGGAGCGGCGCAGGTGACTTTCTGCTGCCTTGTTTGTTTTACCCCTCATTCCCAACTGCATCATTTCATTTCCACTCTTCTCTTCTTCTTCTTCTACCAACGCACTGCTACCTGAGCTACTCCCAGCTACTCCCAGCTACCCCCAAGCTATAAAACCCCTCCCGCCTCCTCCGTCTCTGTATCTCAGCCCAACTTCCAACATCTACCTATAAACTAACTCAACCACCATGAGCCTCCCCTCCAACGTCCACGTCTCCTCCCACCCCCTCCTGCAGGCCAAACTCTCGCAACTGCGCTCCTCCTCCACCTCCACTCGTCAAACCCGCGATCTCGTCCACGAGATCGCCACCATTCTGGGCGTGGAAGCCTTTGCATCTGGCTGGAAAACGAAGCAAGATGGAACGGTATGCTTGTCGTCCACCACCACCGTTACCAAAAGCTAACCGCCAACAACAGGACAAAACCCCACTGGGCATCGAATACCCAACCACGACCCTCGACCCCTCCAACATCGCCTTGGTGCCCATCCTCCGCTCAGGACTAGGCATGACCGACGGTACGTGCAGCCCCGGCCCCGGCCCCAAACCCCCGAAAACCCCATCGCATATCCTTCCTTATCAGCCTCTAATCTATCAGCCCCTCTTATCTTGGGCCCACCCCGGCGAATCCTTATCTCCCCTCTCCCCCCCCCCCCCAAATCTAAACCATGCTAACAAAAAGAAAAACAGCCATAAACTCCCTCCTCCCCACCAGCATCCCCATCTACCACCTGGGCCTCTTCCGCGAGCGCCTCACCCTGCAACCGGTCGAGTACTACAACAACCTGCCCTTCCACAAGGCCGCCGGCAGCGCCAACCCGGCCGCCGCCGAGACGGCCATCCTGCTGGACCCGATCATCGCGACGGGCGCCACGGCCGAGGCGGCCATCCAGCTGCTGCGGGAATGGGGGGTGCGGCGCGTCGTGATGCTGAGCGTGTTGGGCTCGGAGGCCGGGATCCGCCGGGCGGCAGGGACGTGGGCGGACGGGGTGGAGGTGTGGACGGGGGCGGTGGACGCGCAGTGCGACGAGCGCGGGATGATCGTTCCGGGGTTGGGGGATATTGGGGATCGGTTGTTTGTGGCGATTGGGAAGTAGATTTTTTTGCTGTCGGTGGGTGGTAAGTTAGTCAACTGGGTCATTTGTGGGGGGGCGGTGGATTTCTGCGGGGTAAGGTAGCATTGTCATTGTGGCATGGGCATAGATAAATGAGGTATGAGAAAGAGAATGAATGCATATGAGCTTCATGAACTATCATCAAGTCCTTCCTAGTATTCTGCAACTATGAACTAAACCACGAAACATCAACGCCTCCCCTCGCGCACCGATATCCAGTCCGAGATCAATGCCCCCCCTTCCACCCAATAACCTCCATCTCCACCCCGCCGCCGCCGCCGCCGGCCTCATTCCCCCGCTGCCCACTACTACTGCCCGTCCGCCCCCCCACCGCGGACGGAGCCACCGGGGAAGACCCTCCCACTCCCACTCCCACTCCCATACTCCCCGCCCTCTTCACCTCACTTCCAGCCCCAGAATCCCCCGAATCCCCGCCAACCGGATGCGACCTCAAACTCAGATGCCGTTTCCCCATCCCCAATCCCAACCCCAACCCAAAGGCAGAAGACACTTTCCTCCCCGGCCACTTCTCTTTCCCCTCGCCCTTCCCATCGTATCCCTCACTCAGCGTCGTAACCGCCACCCCGATCTCCTCCTCAGCCTGTGAAGGTATCTGCTGGTGCTGGTGATGGTGCAATCCCGCCAACTCCGCGCGCTTCTCAATGATCTTCTCGATCCCGATCGCCGAGCCAGATGCCGTGGCCGTGACCGTCGTCGGGGTTGATGTACCTGCGCCTGCGCCACCACCACCACCACCACCACCACCATAGCCACCCGCGACACTGCTCCCGCCCCCGAGGACGGTCGTCGACCCGGCCGTGATGGTGGTCGAGGTGCCCATGGGCCGGTAGTCCGGGTGCAGGCGCTGGTGCAGGCGCGGGTCCACGCGCCGGGTGTCCAGCATCTGGTGGCGGAGTTTGTCGCGGTGGGCTTCGCGGCGTTCGGCGGCTGAGGCTTTTGGTTAGTTATTTTGAGGTAGATTGGGGTTGGGGAAAACTCACCGTTCCAGAAGTGGACGTACACGGCCATCACGACGAAGCAGGCCACCAGGAACCCGAAGAGGATGCCGAGTTCGTGGCCGAGGGATTTCATCGGCGTGTAGGGGGGGATGTTGGCGTAGGATCTGGCCATGATTTTTCTGGATGGGTAGGGCCGGGGTTAGCATTTTTAGGGTTGGGTTGGGTTGGGTTGTTGAAGGGGGGTGTTGAGTGAGGAGGGGGTGGAAGGGGAAGGGGAGGCGGAAGACTTACTTGTGATGGTTTAGGTGAGAGGTCCTTGGTTAAGGGTTCGTGGAGAAGATGTTAACAGTTAAGGTGGGCTGTTTGTTGTTGGGGTGGGCTTGGTGATATCGGATGGGTTGTGTGAACAGTCTAGGTGGGATGCAATCAGGTTTGTAGCTAGTATCCAGCCCTTAGACAGGCTTGGATACTGTCGCGGCCAAGTAATCACTTCACTTGGCAGAAACAGTAACACGCAGAAGTTAATGCAGTGTGAAGACAGGAGATATAACACACGGCGCAACCCTCTCATGCATGTGAGAATCCTCCCGGGGCTGTGGTAGCAATAAGTACTGTACTGTGCTGTGGGGAACGGCTGCTGGGGCGTTGTCAGCACCAGAACACGAGGTCCGATGCGCATGGGACGGAATTCCTTTGTTTCATGGCGACGGACACTGACGAGGCCAAGCAGAGATTCATATTCCCAAAACTGGTCTCCTGGTCTCGGGCAACGGACAAAGGAACACACCACACACCTTGGCTCACATGACACGCGCATTGGGAGATTTTGTCCATCGCTCGCGGCGACTTTCGACAGTCTGACAATCTGACAAATTCGGAGATACTACTGTCAGAAAATCAAAAAAAAAGAATTGTTCATAAATAATGGTGGTAGATACATCATGAGAATAGAACAAGAAAAGATCAGCGAGCCACCTGTCGGCTCGACCCCAGATCCAAGGTATCATATACACATACAATCAAGCATCAAAAGAAAAAGAAAATTTGCCCAGTCTATACATGGTGGCTTGGGTATGCATGCAAAGAAGACGGAAGAAGAAAAAGGTATAAAACAGAAACCTGCAGGGAACGTATCCGGTATCCACATGGTATTAAGTGACCAGTCCACTGCAGATCAGATCAGATGCAGGGGCCAGAGGTTTGGACCCAAGGTATGCGATGCGCTCGTAGCAAGGTGGGAAAATTGCGACCAACGATTCCAATGCGGTTGCCGGTCAATGTCGTCAAAAAGGTAAAATCGAGAATTATGAAACTCCGTATGCAAAGGTAACAGGTGCGGCCACGGTATCGATCCTTCAGCCCAGCATGACGGCCGCCAGCGCTGTACAGGTCAATCCAATGGCCATTCCGATCCACGGCGTCTGTCCGAGAGTGCCCTCACTGCGAGCGCGCAGGGCCTTGGTGTCCCGCGCGGAGGCGGCCAGCGTCCCCAGTCCGCTGTCGATGGCGCGGTCCTCGTCCGTCTGAATCCCCCGCTCTTGCCATTGACGGATCTCTGGGTGGATTTCCAGCACGTTTTCTTGGTGGTCGGGCCGGATTTGAATCTCTGGTAACGGAGCAGGCGGGGTGGTATTGGGTAGGGAGGGGGTGGGAGACGGCGCCCGGTCGGCTTCGGCGGCGATAGCTATCGTCGGAACGAGACAGAGAACGATTGTCGAGGGCCTCATGGTGAACTCGGAATATGCGACAGGCTTCAAAGCGACAGAAAAGCGATCGGGGATGAGCTTCGTGTGTATATATAAGACGAGATTATGGTTGTGCGTCGAGATTGTCGCGGGTTTAGATTAGATTGACTCCGATGCGCAAGGCTGCCTCCACCAGGCCCCGAACGTGCGCAATCTCACTCGTGCAGCGAAGGGAATCCACCACCACGGCCACGGTTGAGAGGTGTCGCACTAGAATAATCCAGCAACCACCACAGTAAGCAGCCAAGTCGGATAGAAGCTGGTCCCGACAGCGCGATTGTCGCACACTTCGGAAGGGTCGAAGCGAGAGGGCGGGAAGCAGGAGGAAGAAGAAAAAAAGAATGGTTTGACAAATCTCCTGAAACTGGGCGGGAACGAGGAACGGACTCAGCCACGGGAACGACAGGCAGCAAAAAACAAACTCAAACTCAATTCCGCCCCAGCGAGAGTAAGTCGATTTCGACACGCAAGTAATGAAGACCCAAAGCAGACGGACAGAAGGAGGAGGGGAAACGAAGAGGAGGAGGAGGAGGAGAAGTATGGGGGAGGGGAAGAAGGAATAGGAGCGAGGAGGAGGAGGAGAGGGAAGAATGGGAGGGAGTTGATTGAGTTAGTTGGAGCGAACGGGCGGAATAATAATAATAATAAGATAAATAATAATAATCAAACCCAGGGGGTGTACCATGTACCATGTACCGTGTACCGTGTATCGTGTACCGTACCTAACGGGGGTAACTAACGGCCCAGACCACTCCAGTCTCCAGCAGTGCCAGTGACAGGCTACCTAGTAGGCTAATGGCCCTGACCCTGCTGCAAAAGTAGTGCCAAATTAGTGGAAATTAGTCCCAGTTCACCTGCCCTCTTTGGGTTAAGCGACAAGGCACTGCTCCACTCTTGGGGCGGATTGACGGCATTATCGTGGGTTCTATTGGTTCCCAACTCTGAGCCGTGCCCGCACGGGCTGAATTGCCCTTCCTTGGGGTTAGTTGCTTGTCGATCGACCAGTTGATCGAATGTCTCGTGCTACGGAAAGCTTAGAAGCCTTGTCAGGGTTTTACAGCCAAGTGGAGCTGGAGAGCCCAAGGGTCGGTCACTTTCTTCTCTTTCCCTGTAACAATCAGTAAACAATCAGTAATGAGTAACTTAGTCACCTAAACGTGGAACCCGCAACCCGCGGGATCCAAACCCTGATGTGAGACATTTCATCTCGACGGTTAGATTAAGCTGAGACTTTTGACACCACCAGCGGTTTGTGTTTGACTGCAGGCTGATGATTAACCTATTGAGTACTGTTCTGAGTACTGTTCTTCCAAACTTTATGCGAACAGCTACATACTATTTTTACTACCACATCGGTAGATGATCAACTCTAGCGGCCAAACTACCGGGGGAAGCTGATGGATGTCATAATGGGGATCATCAGCCGACGACGTAGAGGGGCTAGTCCAGTGGTCAGCCTTGGTTGTTGTTTGGTTGTACGGTGCAACAACTTCAAACCACCACCTGCACTCTTGTATGGCGTCATTACAGCCCCTCCTACCCTCACACTCACTCTTACTAGAGTCCTACTACTAGGTAACTTACCAACCACCCTTCCCTACCTACCCTGCATATCCGAAGGTGACGTATTCCCAAAGAAAAAGAAAAAAAAAAAAAAAAAGTCAGGTTCAATGCAATTGGTTCATTCATTCATTCATTGAACTTGATATCTATCATTCGATCAACTAGCTCCCAGCCTCAAAACTCATAGCATCTTCTCCCAGTCCGGCGTCACCGTGAACTTGCCGCTGAGCTGGCCCATCGCCCAGACCTTCTTCTCATCATCCGGGAACTCCTCGTCGCCCGCGTTCGGCGGTGTGGAGACGATCAGGGCTTCCTGGGAAAAGTCCACCGCCGTCGCGCGATCCAATTCGAAGCTGATACCACCCCAGTCCATCGTCACCCGACCCGATGCGTGGACGTTCAACTTGCCGACTCGGCCAGCCAATAGGCCAGGATCCGCAGCAGTGACGACCTTGGCAGAGCCCTGCGCGGCCGTCGCATCCTCGTCGCCGTCAACGATCTCCATCTCGTCTTCGCGCTTGACCGGCTGTTCGGTGGCTGGGGTCTCGGTAGTGGTGGTGGGGTGAGAGTCCGTAGTCTCAGTACCAGGCAGCACCAGGTTGGGAGTCAACGGAGGGAATTGCATGAGGAACAGCTGTCCAGCCAGCTTGTCCTCCTCTTCTGTGGGATCCTCCTCGTCGCCTTCTTTGTCCTTCTCTTTCTCCTTGTCCTCTCCTTCCGCGGCACCCTCCGCGGCACCCACCAACGCCTCCGGAGCTTCAGGCCGGGGCTCCTTCTGGAAGAGGGTCTTCACGATCTCCAGATCCTGCTCATGCCTCTCGTATTCCTCGATATCCTCCTTGGTGCGTAGCAAACTCTTGGGATCGATGACCACCTCCGGCTCAGGGCTGGGGACGGCAGACTCCGAGACCGACTTAGACGGGCTCAACTTCCGGCGCACCTTGACCTTCTGCACGGGGAGCAAGCCGTCATCGACGTTCGTAGCGCCCTCATCCACACGCGGCACGTCAGTCATGACCTGATCCTCCTCATCCGTAGGCTCCTCCTTGACGATCTGATCCTCCTCATCCACAACCTCCTCGACATCCTCCCCACCATCATCATCCTGCGCGACAAACAAAGCATCATCATCCTCCGCCTTTTTCTTCTTTTTCTTCTCCGCCTTCTCCGCCTCGGCCTCCTTCTTCTTGACCTCCGCAGCCCCCGTCGTACTAGACTCCATATTAACACTAACCACGCGCTCCTCATGCTCATGCCTCTCCAACCGGAGGGGCCTCAACCCCCCGACCCCAATGCCCCCGCGGCCCTCCAACTTCACCTTCCGATCCTTATGGTCCACTTCATCTTCATCATCACTCCCCAAATTAATCCGATCAATACTCACCCGGACCTCGCCATCGCTCTCATCCGAACTCACATACCCCTCCCCACCCTCCCCGACCTGCGTCGCCCCGAGATCCATCACACTGCGACTCCGGGACCGGGAATCAAACCCACCACCCAGCGCTCCACCGCGCCCGCGTCGCGCTCCACCACCACCCATCCCAGACCCCAATGGCCCTCCCCCGGGCCCCATCATCCCACCGCGCATGCCCCCGCGCCCGCCTCTCCCTCCGCCATGCTGTCCACCGCCGCGCCCCCGCTGAATGGCAGCGGCCTCCTTCAACCGCTCGCGGTTCCGCTGCGCCTCGAGCTTCTCGATTGCCTCGCGCTCCTCCTTGCTGCGTCGGTTCACCGCCCGCGGCTTGTACTTCAGGGTCGGCTTGGCGGGTTCACTGCTCCCCGGGGGGCCGCCGGGCGCGGGGGTCGGCGACGGCCGCGCGATGCTGCCCGACGGCGGGGTGCGTTTTTTCAGGGTTTGGAGGCGCTGCACCGGGGGTTTGGGGCCGGCAGCAGCAGCAGCAGCAGAAGCAGCAGTCGTAGTCGTAGATTCGGTGGTGGGAGCATTGTTGGGTTCAGCGGCGGAGGCGGCGGCGGCGGTCGTGCGGCGGGTTCCTGCTGCTGCTGCTCCTCCGCGGCGGGGAGGAGCTTTGGGTGGCATTTTTCGGGGGGGGGGGAGGCGAATGTGAAAATGGAAAGTGTGTTATCGTAGCGTGGGAAGGTTGTGGAGATGCGTCCGGTGATCGTAGGTCAGGGTAGGTCTCAATTGGTATAAAGCCTGTTCTTACAAAGTCCAGGGAAAGAGAACTGGGTATGTCGTCGTAGGAGGTAGAAGGATGCGTGAGATTGCGAAGTGCAGTGGCTAACCTCCCGAAACTTTTTTTCCCGGTCCGTCGGCCTCTCGGCGGCCACGGCGGGCAGAAAATTCGGGAAGGAAGCGCGCGTCTAGCCCGGGAAAAGTGCGGGGCGGCGGAAATTTGTATCCGCTAGCCTCGATCGAGTATGGTCTGGCCCGACCCGCGACCCGACTGGCCGGCATCTGTCAGGGGCTTAGTCAGCACTCAGCACGCTCATCCCACCTTCCAAGTAATTTCCTTTGTTCTTGGTGAATAAAGGAACTAAACATTATACTCTAAGCTAAATGAGAAGTTAACCTGTCATCAATAGACTGCATATGCTATTAATTTGATCGCGAAACATTGAATGCCACTGAGTCAAGTCCTGGTTAGGTCTACTGTATCTGTATAGATCCTCATCTGAAACATATATTTCTTATTCGATCACCCTAGACCAGACAGTTATTGTTCCGTCTCCACCAGATCAGTCGAATAATGACTCAGCCATTCAAAACAACAAAACCAATCAATCCAGATACATTGGCACAATCATCGCACGGTAATGAGTGGTGGAAGGCGACCAGGCACCCCACAGGGCCGCATCAAATTCAGCTGCAGATAACGCCAAAAGAACACGACACAATAAGCACAATCAACTCGCTCAGTTCAATCGCTAGAACTATTGAATGGAATGCAGAGTGTAATGGGACAAGCATGACGATGTGAGGGACCGTGACAAAAGCTCGGAGCTCGTCGAGTTGATGCGAGGTGGTGAGGTCGACAGTCGGAGGGAGCGTGGGTGTAATGTAGGTGGTGGGTGGAAGGTTGAGGTTGGAATGAGCGACGCACCCGAAGGAGCCGTCCGAGCGGTCGCAGAGTCACCCACTCCTACCGGGGTAGAAGTGCGAGGTACGGCGCACAAAAGGGACAGGAGACTTCAGGATGGAAGGCCAACGGTACAGGGTCAAGGTTATGAAAGGAGGGGAAAGATGCGATACACAGATAATTCCACTCGTCTATGTTGAAAGGTAAAAGGTAAAATATGTTTGCGGAAATGCAGCCATCCAGGCACAGCTCATAAGTCGATATTCGGACAAACAGGTGCAGGTGCAAATGTGTATCTGAGATAGAAAAAGCAACAGGACCGTCATCCTCATGCCGGATACAGGATAGGTCTAGCGCTTGCGTTTCTTGTTCTTGTCGGCGATAGCAGCCGATGACGAAGACGACGACAATGACAAAGAAGGCATAGGGGCGGCAGTAGCCACCAGCGTTTGAGTCTCGGCGCCGTTGGGAGGAGAATCAACGGTCTTCTTCACGGGAACCCCCATGTGACGACCGTAGCGGCCTTTGCGACCGTTCCCTTCGTCTTCGCTGATGCAGCCATCAAGGCCAATCCCAGCATCCTTGCATCGGCCGCAAGGACGTTGCCGATCACAGCCCTTCTTGCTCTTGCGGCATCGCTGGCAACGCGGCTTAGTGGACAGGTCCTCTTCATCGGCAGCGAGTGGGTGAGGGTGCTGATGTTGAAGGGTCACGGACGAGGTCGAGCTCTTGCGTACGGGCGCTGGGCTAGCTAGGACCGGCGACACCGCTGCTTTCTGTGTGACCACTGTGGGAGTCGGTTTAGCCTTGCGCACGGCACCACTGGTGGTCGCCTTGGCTGTCTTGCTCGGGCGCGGTGCCGACTTGGACCCACGGGCCTTGGTCGAGGTCGTGCTACCAGCGCGGACCTTGACCTTCTTAGACTTGGGGGCCGACTCGTGATAAAGGGAATCATCGTCCATCTCATTCTTGATGGTGTGATCATGCTGTCCATCCTCCTGGTGATACTCATCATCGTAGCCGTCGTAACTGCCATCGGAACTGTCAAAGCTTGGCAGAATGTCGTCCAGTCGCTTGTGGGTGCGCTTCATGGCACCCGGGGGCAACATTGGGCTGGAGTCCAGCCTCTGCTTGGTTCGTAAGGGCAGATCATCATCGTCGTCATCGTCATCCTCGCTGTACTCGTCACCATCGCTGGTGGCGCCAGTCGAGGAGGCAGCATCCGCAGCGCCGCTGAAGGCATCATCCAGGGTGGATGCAGATGTGCGACCATGCGAGAAGTTTGACGCATCGCCCAGACGAATCAGCTGCATGGCCACATCCTCATCGGAAATGCAGCTCGCGATGGTTGGGTCGGGCGTAGGGAGGACCCCGTGGGCCGTGTTGCGACCAGCCGAGTTGTTGCTGTACTGCCCCGATGATTGGGTTGCGGCCCGGTCGCGCAGGCGATGTCCGTGATCAGGAACCATCGGCGTAGCATAGACAGAATTCTGGCCCTGATGAAGGCTATACGCTTGGTCATTGTGTCCATAGCTCTGAGGAGAAGGAAGAAGGGGTTGTTGCTGTTGTTGTTGGGAGTTATAGGGTCGCTGAGTGGGGCGGGCAAAAGGTGAGACGGCTCCTTCTTGGCCGATCGACCGGCGCTGAGGGGAGATGGAGGAGGTGGAGGTTGTGAGGGGCACCTGAGGGGGGGCGAACAGCGGCAATTCCTATATGGATGTGGAATCAATGATCAGCAACTGTCCAAGCATTGAGGCTACGTCTGATGGTATCCCTTACCGAGCTTTCAAACTTGGGCCGCTTCCTGCGACCATCTTGAAGGATGTTCTCCATGCTGATATCTGAGCTACCCAACTGCTCACTACGAGGCTTCCTGGCGCCCGAGACAGATCCATAGCCACCCTCACTGTCGCTGTAGCCTCCATCCTCCATAAAACTGCCATGCGTGCTGGAGCCTCTGCTCTTGTTGCCCCCGCGCGAGGACTGTTTGTGCTGCGATGCGCTGCGACGGCTGCGCCCGGACGGCGACATGCTGCGCTTCCGAGCGAGCCGGGAGGCTGGCCGAGATGGGGGCTGCCCATGCTCCAACATGTGCGCCGCCTGCATTGCCGGCGCCATCTGGAAAGGTTCTCCCAGACTGGGGCGCTTGCGAGCGTCCATGGGCAGGTGTCCATAGAAGCGGTCCCCGTAGCCTTCAGTATAGGCTTGCACGGGGATGACTCGCACGTACACCGTCATGTTATTTCGGAGATTCTCATACCTGGCAATAAGGGTGATACCCTGTTCATCCTCAAAGCTGACCCCGCTAGCAGTGGTATCGTAAATCCCATAAAAGTTCTTGACCGTGGTCACAATGGAATCCGTGGTATCATGGGGATAAATCTGGACTCGCATAGGTATGCGAGCCCGCACCTTAGAGTTCTCATCGAGTAGCAGCTCGAAGGCGACGTTCTTGGGAACAGAGCTCCGGGGGGAAGGCTCCTGAGGCGAGCGATAATCGCTATAGGCAGGCGACGCCCCAGGAGCCGCATGCTGTTCGTACGAGACAGCCTGCATGATGGAGAAGGTCCAAAAGCGGGTGCTACCACACTGCTACTACATCGATGATCGTATCAACCGGCTGCTCTTGTTTGGGGGTGGATGAGATCGATCCGGATGGGAAGGGAATAGGAGGACTGGGGGTGGGCGGATGTTGGAAGAGGGAAAAGGCAGAAACGGGAATATGAGGGTATGGGCAAAGTCCATCCAAACCTACCACAACAGTAAACCCGGGAGAGGCTGGTTAAAAGATGGATCACCCGCGATTGATTATATTGACAGGATCGATGACCCCGAGTTGTGGTGGATGGGATGAGGACACCCCAAGTCGCAACAGCCGAGAGCGACGGGAAAGGCGAGAAAAAACCGATCGATGCTGAAAGGAAAACCAGTATGAATGTCAGCACATTGTGTTCCAGATGATCTCAGATAATTGGAAGGTCTTCAGTGAGAGAGAAGATGGCAGGAAGCCGATGGTATTCCAAGGCCTGTTGAGTCCTGATGGATTGCATACTTGAGGAGGGAGGAGGGGGGGGAGGAGAGATGGGTGTGGGCATTGAGGAAGAAGCAGGGAAGAAACGACCCGAATCGGTCGGAAGAGGAGGAAGAGGATTAATGACACACCGATGACAGGTCAAATTGAATTATCCAGAGTCGCACCCATGTACCAGATCCGACAGGATGAAGAAGGAAGGATAGCGATGGCGATGAGAGGAGGGAGTCGGGGGTCGGGCCGTGGGCGAGGTGAGTCGTTCTACCAAGCGCTTGGGTATGTCAGCGGTGGCATCACGCAGAGCCGAAGCGAGTCAGGAGAACAGAGCGGACCAGCACCCCATGCTGCAAGCCGCGAACACAAATAAAGAGAATAAAACGATCCAGAAGAACCTACCAGATAGATACTGCACCCAAAGATCGAGGAAGGATGAGGGGCGGAGGGGCGATGGGCGAACGAAGTCGAAGGTTGAGTTGTCGAAAGAGGGTTGAGGAGGGAGGAAGAGGAGAGAGAGAGACAAGAGGGAGAAGCCGACTGAAAGACAACCCAGAAGTGGTTTCACCCACACCACTTCAGCAAGCTACGTACTGGGGTCGGTGACCACATACGTCTCTTCTTCCCCCCCCCTTTTCCATAGATTCTTATTATCGCCGACTCACAAACGATCTCAAGGTCATTATATCACTTAATTGAGTCTATTTATCTTCTACTTTTTCCACATTGTGAAATGCGCGTTGGTCTATTGCATCGCAAAAGTCCCAGATCGCATTCCGTCTACGGCCCGGATACGGCGGCGTTTACGGGGAACATCGACTGCTCTCTTGCGACCGTCGGACGTCCCAGGCGGTCTTCAATCTCCTTCGCCATGAGTCGCAATTCCTGCATCTCTAGAATAACGGTCTTGTTCTGAACTGTAGACAAACAGAAGATGGGCCAGAGCGTGCGAAAGGTATTCGGGTGGTTGAGCCATCAGCCCGGTCTGGCGCAAACTGACAGCGACTTCCTCCTCCACCTCCACCTTCCGCAGATCTCCGTCTTTGGGCATAAGCATGTCGAGAGTGGCACGAGAATTTTCGCATATATCTTAATTACGTAGATAATCTGTGTGTAGTGACTAGCTCCTACTCGAATTTGATAAATACCACTCTTCGTCGCACGACACAAACGGAGAGGTAGAAACAATTCGAGGGAAAGAAAGCGGAGTGGCGTCGGGTTGGCTGGCACATCCTCAGCGCGGCCACGTCGAATGACACCCCCGAATCACATCCCGGTCACCACCAGACATGGTCCAGCTGCGATCCCCAGAGAAAATGATCCGGTTCGAAGTCACCGCCAGACTTCGTTCTTTTGCTCATGATTGATGTTCAAAGCCACACGATAAATCCGACAGGCGCAAACTGGGCGAAGAGAAGGAGATTCTATCGCAAAATCCACACAATGCGATCAGCCCCGTCGCCCATTGCGCCAATGCGATCCGGATTGTTCCTCGTTGTTTTCGCTTCTCCCACTGGGAAACGGGTTTTACTCAGACATGCAGGGCTGAAATTCCCGCCCGGAGCTCTCGATTCATGGCCACAGATCCTGGGGTGGCAGCGAGCGATGCGACCATCGTTCCCTTCTTCATCTTCATCGTTTTCTACCCCAGTCTGTCAACTACAAGCATGTGGATTGAACTGATTGATGGAACCGGTGGAATGAACGAAAGGGAATGGGGTAACAGAGAGGGACAAAGATGGAGATGATGGGGGCATTATTGGCTTTGGCTCCAGGCCAACAGCACCGACCAGCGATCACGCCCAATTGTTGCCTCGTTTCATGATCTGCGCCTGTCCAGGCTTGTCCTTTCTTTACCCCTCCCTCCCTCCATCGACCAGCATGGACTACGTAAGGTTGGATGGATGGATGGATGAATGAATGAATGGATGAACGGACGAGGGATTGTCTTTCACCAACCGTCGGGTAGGCACAAGTCATCCATCGACCTTTTCCCCCATCCCCTCCCCTCCCCTCTCCAGGATCCTAACGTTCCTTCACTACTAAATAACTGTATGTATGTAAATGCGTTCTATCCGCGGGTAGAGCGTGTCTATCCGGTCGTCTCTCTTTCCATCCAGTGACCATTCGTTTCCCAGTCAGTTTGCAGGTCCCGGTGCGACATCGCATTTTCTCTATCAGTTCCGTCATCCTCCCCAAAGGTACTTACTCCCTTCTCTTTCGATTCACGGTGGCTTCGCAAGGTCGATTTATACATTTGCCTTCATTAGTCATTACTCATGATTCGGAGAACCTTGGGGAATCGCATTGGGGAAGGAGAAATCTGAAGCGGCTAAGAAAGCATGAATGTAAAGCGCAAAATCAGACACAGAGACGAGCAACTCCGAGCCACCACCAACCGGCGCAACGATGTGGTTAGCCGGATGAGTGGGGGGGGGGGAAGGAATTTGGAGCAGGTGCAGTGCTGTGCAGCAGCCCACACCCTGACAAGTAAGGTTATGATTATAGGTCACATAGACACCATCCAGGAGGACTTTTCTTCTCGAATTTCTAATTGCAGATGATTAGGAGGAAATAGGGGAGATAACAGGTGGTAAGAGACCGAAGAATCAAATGATTGCTGTAGATATTTAGTTGGTTGTTGTAGTGTTTCTCGGATGGAAAGAAAATTGGGGGGGGGTCGCTCGGCGGGGCTCCTCTCTGGTTGTCTCATTGAGTCAATCAATAAACTCCGAATAAAGAAAGGATTGAGTGACTTTCGTCCTGCAACGCCGACTATTGTTGTTGTTGTCCTTTGCCCACACCGAAACTTTGCGCTCATTCAATAGTCCGCTTCGGGTCGCTCGCAATACCTCAAAACGTCAGCTGTTCCCTTTCCCTGCTGCTTCTTCGTCGTCCTCTTCTTCTTCGACCTTCCCTCCGTTTGTTCTAGGTTGAATCAACAGGAGCTTATTTATGTGGATACTTTCACCTCAATTCTGTCACCTGTGTGAAAAGGCGCAACCCTTGTACTCTGTAAGACCGATTCCTACAGTCGCGATCGGCGATTGAGCAGACAAGGATTGATTCCCCTCCACCACTTGATCCTCCCTCCCGTATCATGATAGGCAGCGCCGGATCCGCGTCCCACCGTGGCTTCCTGGCGACGTTGGCATTTGCACGGGTGTAAACGGGAACCAGAGAACAAGGCCGAAGCAAAACTGAACTCCCAGAGACAGAGAAGACAAAACTTGTAAAACCAGCGAGAAACATGGGTTTATTCAAGTCATTGACGCTGCCTTCATTGTTCTACCATCTATCTATCATTCATTCCTACTATGCGCTGGCTCCGATCTCGATCGCAAAGGCTATTCCTCCCCCACCCCTCAATCCTTCTTCTCCATTCTCCTGCCTCTTTATACGGCGTCTTCGACAAGATCTCTGAAATGGTGTTCGGTCTTGTATGAGCAACCCCACGGAGAACCCTTTGCGCTTTGTAGCCACAACCAACAGGCGTGTTCGTCGGCCTCTATCCATTGCGACCTCCAGCCTCAAATGACCGAGCGAAATGGCGGAGCGAAGCGCCCGCACCGATCACGTGGTTTCGCGTTCCGGAGCGGGCAGTTTCGTGTCGCTCGGCGCGTCCCCCGCCTGCGTATAGTTCAGCCCCTGCCCACACCCGCCAAAAGCAAGAATGCATTGATGTAATTCAGAAGCAGAATCGCATCGTTCTGGTGATCATTCTGCTGGCTGGGAGTATCATTATTTATCGGCGGATCGTGAGATTTCGGGGTGGAAGAGAAATGAAGTGCTAGCGGGAAGACGCGCTGAGTGATGTCACATGGGCTGGGAAGGCAGACAAACCAGACAAACGAGACAAACTGCAGCAACCTTCTAACTAAGTTAAGGTATCCTGGGCTGACATAAGCATAGCGGTGGTTGTTGACGGTAACCAAGTAAGGAAGTGACCGTTTTGGGTAATACTGCTCTTTGTCACGTCCACGGTTGCCATCCAACCGGCTGAACTAATTCCAATTAGTGCTGCTGTTGCTCCCTCAGCAGTCTTCAAGCCTCCTCCGCCTCCACCTGTGTTTTTGTCCTGCCCTGCCCTGCCCTGCCCTGCCCTGCCCCAGGTCGCGCCCTCCCCTCAGCTCCCTTCCCTTCCTTCTCGATTGCTTCGTCGTCGCTTTTATTTTTTTCAAAGTCTTTCTGAAGTTTTCTATAACTTGCTACAGAAAAGTCTCGTGCCAATCCAGTGCTTGTCCTTTGTCCCGGTCATCACTGGATTAATTCTTCGTTTTCTCTGCACCTGGTCTTGGCGTGGTTGTTGCTGTTGTTGTTTGTTTGGGGCCGCTCTTAGTATAACTTGAGCTGCTGCAACAAAACCGCTCCTGCGCAGAGCGCAGAGAAAGTAAACAACAACAGCCCAAGTCCCATCCACAACCCACGTCGAGTCCTGGAGGCTCAAAAGTGAACGCTGACTCAAGTTCACCATGGATGCAAAGGTACGTTATCGTCTTTTCGTTGTTCCTCTTCGATAGCGTCGATCACCTTGTCGGCCATGTGTTGTCCTCAGTGCGCACTTTACCTACGCGCCCATGCAGCGAAGGACATCTTGACAAATCTTCTACAAAGTCGCGCCAGCCTCGATATCAGAGCTAATCACAATTTACTTCCATAGCCCCAGAGAATCCGCGTTCGCGGCGACGAAAATGCCCCCTTCCCTGCCGTAGCCGGCAAGACCATCCACCAGCAGAACAAATCGACCCCTGCGTTGTCGGCCCTCTATCAGAACGGCGTTTCGAAGCCTACCACCAAGCGAGCGGCCTTTGGAGATGTCAGCAACACGTCTAAGCCCGTTAATGCCAGCCGCGACGACGCATCCCTTGCTGGGAGGAAGCAGTCCAAAGCTGCCGAGAAGCCCTCGGTGGTCATTGAGAAGAAGTCCACTGTCCTAGCACAACCGGCCCAACGCCCAGGGGTGATGAAGGGAATCTTGAGTAATGTCACCAATGTCACCAATGTCACTCATGCGAAGTCCGTCGAGCCGTCGAAGCAGGCTGCCAATACCCGCAAGACCCTGAACAAGCGGGCCACTATCTCCAAGGACACATCCAAGGCACAAGCCGAAAAATGCGAAAACACATCCAAGGAAACCAAGAAAGAAGCGAAGCGAGGAAAAGGTGAGCCTTCGCTTGCACATGCGCCGATTGCACCTGCGAAGCAAGATGGCGCAAAGGAAGAAACCCAATCAGATGAGGTCCAGGATCCTGTAGTGGGAGAATTGGAAGAGCACGCTGTTGTCACCTCTGCAGCGGTAGAAGATGACAAAGAATCCTCCAAGCTTGATGATGACGTTTGTGAGGTGCAAGGTGTGAGGGAAAGTCGTGAGTCCCGCGAGGAAGTTGGCCCTGCAGGCCACGATATATCTGATCCTGCTACCAAGTCTCACCGCGAATCTGTCTCAAGCTCTCACGTCACCCATGATCGCCAACCGGCACAGGCTGAATTTGAGGATTATTGGGACGATGAAGAGGAGGAGAATGAGGACGATGATGGATACATCACGGCTCGCTCTTATCGTTCGCGTGGCGAGAACACCACCGGCGGCGCTACGACGGTCCTGTTCCCTAAGTACACCCAGCAAGTCCGACGGGAATTAGCCCTTGCACAGCAAGTTGTCGAAGCTACGCGAACAGAGGAGGATATTGAAGATGAGTTCTGGGACACAAGTATGGTTGCGGAGTACAGTGAGGAGATTTTCGAGTATATGAGAGAGCAAGAGGTATGGACCCCTTGTTTGAAACGCAATTGACAAGGAGGAAGTCACTAACAGAACCTGCTATGTATAGATCAAGTTATTGCCAAATGCGCATTACATGGACAACCAGGCCGAGATCCAGTGGTCGATGCGCTCGGTTCTCATGGACTGGCTAGTGCAAGTCCACCATCGGTTCTCGCTGCTGCCTGAGACCCTCTTTCTCTGCGTCAATTACATTGACCGGTTCCTGTCCTGCAAGATTGTCTCTCTTAACAAACTTCAATTGGTGGGCGCCACTGCGATCTTCATCGCGGCTAAGTATGAAGAGATCAACTGCCCGTCCATTCAGGAGATTGTCTACATGGTCGACGGCGGCTACTCTGCGGACGAGATCCTGAAAGCCGAATGGTTCATGTTGAGCATGTTGCAGTTTGAATTAGGATGCCCTGGCCCGATGAGTTTCCTGCGCCGCATCAGCAAAGCCGACGATTATGATCTGGAGACGCGCACTCTCGCCAAGTACTTTCTGGAAATTACCATCATGGACGAACGCTTCGTTGGCAGCCCTGCTAGCTTTGTTGCAGCGGGGGCTCATTGTTTGGCTAGACTGATGCTGAGAAAGGGCGACTGGGTAAGACTACCGCTGTTTTGACTCGCGTGAGAGATGCTAATCAAGCACAGACACCCGCCCATACCCACTATGCAGGATATACTTACTCTCAGCTTCTGCCTCTCATTTCCCTCATGATGGAGTGCTGCGAGAGGCCTAGCAAACACCATGCCGCGATCTACGAGAAGTATACTGACAAGCGGTACAAACGCGCTTCTCTCTTCGTCGAGGCCGAAATGAAGCGAGGGTTTCTTCTCCCTGACAACCACAAAGACACTTCTTTTTTCCGCCGGAACTCAACTCTCGAAGCAGGCCACTATTGCAAGAAAGTCAACATTTAGTATCGAGGTCCCCACCCAGGCTCATGCTTCGATAGTCGAGCGCCGAACCACCATACAGGGAATCAATCGACCCACACCACGTGCTACTGGCCAGAACTCTTGATTCCTTCTTTCACTCTTTACATTTCCTTACACTTTAATCAATGCACTAGGGGCGATGTCCCAAGTGATGCACATTGGACTTTAGAACCCACAAAAAAGAAAAACTGACCACAGGGTCAGGATATCAGATACCAAGGGAAGGCGGAGTTCTTTTGATTTTGTATTGATCTAATGATTCGGATGACATGAAAGCCGCGCAACACATCCAGGCTCGGGAGTTCATGGAATCGATGGCTAGTTACCTCTTGTTTCTTTTTCCTGAAACCTGCCATTCTTTCAGGTTCCGCCCATTTGTTCCTCTCCTTTGTCTTTTCGTCATCCCTCCTCTTCTTATTCCCAGTCGATTATGGCATGCCGCCTCGTGATGATTACGTTTCCGGCATGTTTTGGTCCCTCATGGACAGTGACCCGACGACACGATGTCAAAGAGTGTCACGCACGATGAAATTTTTCCCTTTCCTAATTTCCTTTTCTCTCTTCTGTCACGGATTTTGGAATGACGTTTGTCCTTTCATTCTCTTACGCGGCACACTTCGTTTTTTCTTCTCCTTTTCTTCCCGCTCGACGGATTATCATCCAGGATTATGGCGCAGGTATTAATGAAAATGAATCTTACTTTTTTTTTTATTTTACATGCTGCAGTGGCGTGCGTATCTTGACCTCATAAATCTAGTTTCTAGGCTTGGGGCTAGTATAAAGCGCTGTCATTGACACCAGCTGTCCTTCCGGCACGGTCAGTATACCCAACCCCAGGGGCTCACATAGACCTCCCTCAATCTCTACCTCCTCCTTGCTATGGTACAACGCCCTCTTTTCTAGAATTAACCCAAGCAAATCACCCAGCAAAGCAAGCCGAGTCCCTTGCCAACCGGATAATCTATCTATCTATGTATCTAGCTATCTAGCCAACATCTTTTCCAAGAAAGAAGATAATCAGACATAAACCCAATGTCCGCAGCACGCAGCCCGCCCAGAAAGATGGAAATGGGAATTCATTGATCCAACCCATTAAACTCGACCAACCTCTTCACGACCTCGATCACCTGGTCCGCCAGGGGCCCGCTCACACCCCCAGACCCGAAAGTAGGCTGATCGATCCGGCCGGCAATCACCTCGTCCAGCATCATGCGCAACCGGGACACGAGGACGCCGATGCGCGCCCAGCCGCGCAGCCGCAACCACCCGTCGACGATCAACCCGCGCCCCGTGGTATCGAGGTCGATGGATCCGCAGAAGAGGAGGAGGGAGAAGGCGTTGAATGCTACATTGGCGACATTAGCAGCCGAACCAACCCCTTAAAAGATATGGAAGATGCCGGGGGCGGGGGGGCAGCAAAACTTACGAGTCAAGTCCCGCACGAATACCTTACTCGTCGCCATCTTGGTGAAGTAGCTCAGGTACGCGGCGCCGCCGGGGTAGTTCTGGGCGGAGAACAGCAGCGAACTCGGGTGGATGAAGACGCGGCCGTTCTCCTGGTTGAAGTACTTGATCGTGCGGGCGTCCGGGTCGATCTCGACGGTGCCGGTGATGGAGGCGGCGAATTTCTTGTCGGGGAAGGAGATCTGCGCGATTTGCGGCTGGAAGGCGCCTGCGATGAGGGCGCGGAGGAGGGGTTTGTTGGTTGTGTTGCGGTTCCAGTTGTTGTTGTTATTGTTGTTGTTGTTGTTGTTGTTGGCGCTGCGTGAGGAGGATTGGGGTTGGGCTTGGGCTTGGGAAGAGGAAGAGGAAGAGGAAGAGTAGTCGACGGGGAGGAGGCCGGCGTCTTTGAGGGAGGTGAGGAGTTGGGCGCGGTTGGAGGAGATGTCGCGCAGGGTTTGATGCGAGAGGAAATTGGCCATGCACCAGCTTTGGGTCTGCCAGTAGCCGTGGGCTTGGACGCGGTCGGACCATTGTTGGTAGGCGAGTAGGTCGGTCAGGAGGTCGCCGTCGTTGGCACCCTTGGTGAAGGCGGCTTTGGCGGCGGTGGCTTCCTCGCGTTTGTCGCGCGGGGAGACGAAGGGGCTCTTGACCGTGAGGATGGCGGAGATGGTCACGCAGGCGTCGATGCAGCCGAAGATCGAGCCGTAGACCATCAGTTTGGCGCACCGGAGGTCCGCCGGGATCATGGAGAGGTAGCGGCCCAGCGCTGTGAGCCGGTCGTGGTCGAGCGCCCCGACGCGGTGCAAGAAGTCCAGGGCGCCCTCGACGGCGGTGCTCTCGGGTGGCGTGATGGTGTTGGCGAGGAAGTGCGCGACGTCGCTGATGCCTTGCATGGCTTTCACGGACAGGCAGAGTTGCTCCAGCGGTACGCGCCGGATCTCCGGGTCAGGTCGGTGAGGCATGCTCGTCTCGGCTTTGCGTGTGTAGAGCTTGTAGCATGTTCCTGCCCTGACACGACCGGCACGTCCGCGGCGTTGCTTGCAGGCTGCTTGCGAAGCCCACACCTCTTGTAGCCTGACAATGTTGTCTCGCGGGTCATAGCTCGTCTCTTTCACGCGGCCGGTGTCAATGACGGCCACAATGTCTTCGATGGTGATGGATGTCTCGGCGACGTTGGTGGCAGCGATGACTTTGCGCATGCCTTTGGGGGCACTTTGAAAGACACGGCGCTGCTCAGCTGGTAGAAGAGATGCATGGAGAGGTAGGGGATGGGTATTTGGGATTCTTCTCACAGCGTTGAGGCATCTTTCGATCTCCATGGTACCGGGCAAGAAGATCAGGATGCCCCCGGGCTGGTCGCCCAGCTTGGCATCGATATATCGGACGGTAGAGGCAATCAGCTCGTAGTTGATGCCCATTCCGAGGCTTCGTAGGACCTTGCCTAGGGGCTCGTCGGACTGCTGCGAGGATGGAGCCTCTTCGTCGAAGTCCCGCTCTGTGAGCTCGGGGTAGAACCCAGTGTCACGAATAACATCGTCTAAGTAGTAATCGTCGACAGGGAAAGTCCGTCCCGGGATGTTGACCAGACCAACCGACTCTCGGCCGCCAAAATAATTGATGAAGATCTCTGCGTCGAGGGTTGCACTCATCAGAATGACTTTGATATCCTTGCGGTGGCGCAGAACGTCTCTGAGAAGAGCTAGGAGGAAGTCGGTATCGAGACTGCGCTCGTGCACTTCATCAACGACGACGTGAGTGACATCTGAGAGAGAGCTTGCAACATTGCCATCCGGGCCACTGCCCGACTGCATGCGACGGAGTAAGACACCCGTCGTGACGAAAGTGATCTTTGTCCGCCCTGACTTGACCTTCGACTCTCCTCGAATGATGTATCCTACCTCGTCGCCGACGGGTGTGCATCGCTCGTCGCTGACTCGATCCGCCAGGCCCAAAGCAGAGATCCTACGCGGCTGGGTACAGATGATGTTCGCGGCAGCGCCGAGGTCCCTCTTGATTAGGTCGTCGAGCATGAATTGAACGGATTGGGTACTCTTTCCACTACCGGTCTCTCCGGAGATGATCGTAACTTGATGTGTGTTCACAGCATCGATGATGGCTTCCTGGGTGTTCCAGGCCGGGAGCGACTGGCGCTTTCGAAGCATGTCCTGCTGGTCTTTGGTTGACTGCCTCGCTTCCCAAGACTCGCGTAGCGAAACGCTTTGCGGTGCACCTGGTTGCCACTTGACCTCATATCCTCTCTTGCGCGATGAGCGCACGGGAAGATTCGAGGTGGTCCCAGTGGGGGGTAGGGGAGCTGTCACCGTCGAGATGTCTCGCAGCTTCCCGGGATTCTCCATAACTGAGGGGAGATTGGTCTCCAGCCAATCCAGCATGTTATAGATCATAGGCTCTCCTACGAAATTCTCTTCGGAGTACTGAACCACCTGACGTATCGCACTAAGACGTATATAGGCAGGAATACCTTTCGCCTGGATAGAGATGATCGGCGGAGAAGATGGATAATGCGTCGAAGGTCGTTGGAACCGGAAAGTCAACGGCTCTGGCAAGTCGGGGTTTTCACCCTTGATCTCACAGACCTTGTCAGAAGCCCGTATATACCTATCCCCGAAAATTGCCTCGAGTGTTTCTTGCTCCTCTGCCCATGAATCCTCCTCACCGGAAGAAGCAGGCTCAGCTGGAGCATTTCCGCCGTGAACCAATGTATTCTGGAGAATCTCCGCTGAAGCAAGCTCATCTCCTTTCTTGCTGTCCAAAGTTCGCGTGCAGAGATCGACGGGATAGCCCATAGCAGTGAGACGTTTGATCTTCGCCTCTCTGGCAAGGTCATCACTTGCAAGGCTCACGCCCGCCGAATAGCCCTCGGGCAAGCACCAGCGAGGCAAATCGTCTTCCGGCACGTAGATGAGAAGCCATTCAAGGACCTCTTCACGGTCTTTACAAGTGCCGACAGCCTCCTCGACGTGGCTGCGACGAAAGCCGAGCCGAGTGAGCTCGTCGACAATGGCATCACGTCCCTTTTGCGGAATCTCCACCCCGTAGGGGTTCCAGATCGCATGCTCTCGCAGCATGCCCTCAATCTCACGGCGGATCTTGCCGCCAAGATCAACCTTGGGCGCACGCGACCAGATGTTCCGTCCTTTGTTCTGCCCACCGCCGCTGGAACCCAGTCCCAGATCGACCGTCGTCTCCGCTGCCTTGGCGGCCTGAAGCTTCTCCCGTTCCTTGCGCTTCATCTCCAAGTCCGCCGCGGCGCTTTCGCGCTCCAGCTTCGCCAGAAACGGGTCAGCTTCGTACATCCAGCCCTTCCCTTCCCGGGAGTCTGCCGCCTTGAGATCCGTGAAATCCTCGCGCCAGAGCTTCTTATATGTGGGCGGCATCATCATGTGGAGATTCTTCATATTGCAGACTCGGTACAACGTATACGCTGCGGCGAAATGTCGAGCCTCGAGCGCGCTAGGCTGGGCAGCGAGGTGCTTATGCGACGGGGGCAGCTTCATCGGAGGAAGGACGATCGTTTCGCGAGTCTTCGGGTCAACGCGCTTCAGAATCACGCTGGAGACGAACCCCTCTGAGACTTTCATCTATTGCAACGTTCGCAGTCAGATCCAGGTCCGTCGAATCAGCTCAAACAAGAGACTGCGCGCCCGCTGGCAAGCACACAGAGGTGTGAGGGTATACAGTTCCTGGGAGCCTAAAGAAAGAACCCCAAGATACACACAAAACTCACCATCGTGTATTCCGGCTTCTCCCACTTCTGCTTCTGGCAATGCTCCGCGAGCATATTCACAGGCAGTTTCCCGGTCCATGAAGCTCCTCCAATGACCTCCTTGACCGAAGGTTTCTTCTGCTCGTCGGTCGTGGTCTGCGCTTTCTTCGCCGTCTCAGCCGATCGCTCGGCCGCGGCTTTGGCCTGCTTCGTCCCGGGTTTGGGAGCGCCTCCCCGGTTCTCGGACTTTTTCTTGGGGGCCATGCTTGTTGGGTGTTTTCTTTGCTTGTTCTCGAGAGAAGGGGAGGGAGGGAAGGGAGGGAGCAAGGGAAAGCCCCTCTTGTAGGCAAAGAAAAAAGAACTTGTCGTGGCACGGGGGACTTGCTTTTGGCTGCTTGCTGGTTGATAATTAATTGATTGATTTGACTTAATTGTTGTCCCGCACTTTGACCGCTTTGGCCGAGTTGGTGTTCGCTGCGGGGAGCATTTTAGGTTAAGTTAACTCGGGCTGTGCTCTCCGCATCTACATGATTTCATTGCGACCGCGACCACAGCCATGAGCCAGCAATGGTGACTCGCCCATGATACTATAGCTCTGCTGCCATGTCCGAGTCATCGGGTTATAGGGCAGACAGTTCGGGAGATGGGAAGGAGAAGAAGAATCCAGTCAAACGAGATGCCTGTATGTCCGAACTCGAGCGCTGCGCGAGCGAATTGCGATTGCGATTGTGATTGCGCTGTTGATGCCTTTTTCCCTACCCTCACTTTCCTCCTCGCAATACACCCCAGCGCATACAGAGAAAGTTCAAGAAAACAATCACTAATATGTTCTAATCCAACGTCCCCACAGTCGCGGAGCTAATGTCCACGAAGAGCAAGCAGCGCAAATCCACCACCACCACCACCACCACCACCACCACAACCTCAACAAAACGAAGAGCCATCGGCGGACCCCGCGACGGACTCGGCGCCTACATTGCCAACCCAGCCGCCTACCCCTCTAGCACCGTAATCTACCACAACGACGACTTCGTCGCGGTCCGCGACCTCTTCCCCAAATCCACGCTGCACCTGCTCCTCCTACCCCGCGACCCCACCAAAACCCGCCTCCACCCGTTCGACGCCCTCTCCTCCTCCTCATCCGACGGCGAGGCCTTCCTGGACAAGGTGCGGGCGGAGACGCAGCGGCTGCGCGCGCTGGCCGCGGGCGAGCTGCGTCGGATGCACGGGCGGTACTCGGCGCAGGAGGAGGCGCGGAGGGCGGCGCTGGAGTGCGACCCCCCGCCGGCGGAGCTGCCGCGCGGGCGCGATTGGGAGCGCGAGATCATGTGTGGGATCCACGCGCATCCGTCCATGAACCACCTGCACATCCATGTCATCTCCGTGGACCGCTACAGCGACCGGCTGAAGCATCGGAAGCATTACAATAGTTTCTCTACGCCGTTCTTCGTGCCTATCGAGGACTTTCCCCTCGCGGAAGATGATCCCCGGCGGCGGCCGGATGAGATGGGGTATCTGCGCCGGGACTTTGTCTGTTGGCGCTGTGGGCAGGGGTTTGGGAATCGGTTCACGGAGCTCAAGGCGCACCTTGCGGAGGAGTTCGACGATTGGAGGCGGTTATGATATTTTGAAAAAAGGTACATAATGGACATGGGGATGGGCAAAGGTTTGGATTCAAGGAGCAAGGGCGCGGTATCCCTTGTTTAAGTTCAATATTCAATCCTTGACTGTTTCTAATGGAACCCTGAAGCCTGAGTTGCAAAAGCTTCATTTGCCTAAATCAAATGTGGACATAAATGTACACGCAAAATGAAAGAGCAGGAGCCCCAGTCGACCGACCACATTTTCAGCAGTCGTTTCTGTCAACGGGTCATCCTGTCTTCAGCCTTATAGAAAGAACCACTCAAGGTCCCCACTACGGGCATTGAATCCTTCCCTTATCTTCATCTTACACAGCCACCGTTCATGATGTCACCAATGACATTTAAGCACGGCTCTTAGAGCGGGAGCTGCTGCCCTTCACCTTGCGGGCCTCGGGGCGATTGATGTGGTGAGCGGGGATCCAGTCGGTATTGTAGGTGGTGGCAGAAGTGACAGCGGGTCCCTCCACGGGGATCTCCTCCTTCTTGGGCACAGTCGACTTCTTGATGGTCTCAGGGGCCTTGCCAGCGCGACGCTTCTGGGGGAAGTAGGGGGCGATCCAGACGGTGTAGAAGAAGTAGACGACACCAGAGAAGCAGGCCAGGAGGAAGAAGTACAGGAAAAGACTGTGGCCAGCATTGTTAGTGGATATTCCCTGGAACGATGGGAGGGAGCAGTGAGGTCTTACATCTGGGGGTCGAAGATGCTGGTCTCAGGCTCAACCACACTGACGGTGCCGTTGTAGGTGTACAGGGTGTAAACGTTGCCCTCGATGTCGGAGATGACAGAAGCCAGCTCAAGTCTCAGATCCTGGGGGTGCATCTCGGTGGCGAAGTTGAAGTTCACGCTCTCCTGCTCACCGGCCGGGATCTCAAGGCTGTATCGGTGGGCGGTCAGGTTGCGAACGATGCGGTTCTCCTCCTCGCCCAGAGACCACAGAGAGCCTCCAATGAAGTTGACAGTCACCGGGTTGGGCTCATCGTTAGCGAAGGTAATCAGCGCCTGGGTCGGGTGGCCATTGACCAGCTTCACGCCGAAGAACTCAGAGGCAGGGAAAGCAGCCTGCGCGGTGACAGCAAGGTTGGGAGTCTGGGGAGCCTCATCCTTCTCGACAGCATCCTAGAGATATGAGAAAGAGCATTGAGTTAGTGACTCGAAAATTGAGACACGTGAGTAATCTGATTGATTCAGATGAGGGTAAAACATACAGCCGCGAGACCGCCGCCGATCAGGGCCTGGACGGAAAGGAGAGCCAGAGACAAGAAACCAAGACGAGCCATTGTGAGACGGCTTTGGGTAGCGATGAAAGAACCGAAAGAGGAGAACGAAAGAGAGGGAAGGGGAGGGAGGGGGAGAGGAAGATGAAGAGGAGGAGTATGAGGAGGAGGGAGGATTGTAGCTGATGATGTGAAGGGGAAATCGGATGGGAGAGCGTTTGCTCCACGTAGGCGTTTCCGCTCGGTTGCTTTCCCCATGTTAGTAGCTGACTCAGCAGCTACAGCAGTTCCGGCAGTTTCCCCGGGCGGTCACTCAACCTGCCAGTTGCCGTGCCCGCGTTTATCAAGCCAGTCAGTCACTTTAACTGCACACTAGACTATTCACTATTTAGTGCAAGTGCCGGCTGGTGTCAAGTGTCAGTCCAGCTCCACGCCTTTGACTCTTGATTGCAATCCTTGTAGAGCGACCTCTCTTCCTTTCTCTTCCTCTCCTTCTCTCGTGTTGTAATCTCAATCGCAGTGAATGTCTAATCATACTTAGTTTCTGAATTCATCTGCCTATATCTCCAGCTCCTTTGAAATTTATTATATATATAACACTGATCTTTGACTTTTTCGTTCTTCCTAACTAAACCTCCACGCTTAATTTTCTCGTTGTTGATTTGGACGATTAGCCAAAAGTACCAATACCGCTATTAATTCTGACCTGACTGATCACCATGACGGCCACCACATATCTTGATCGCTATAGAAACCTGGTTCTCACAGAACAGAAAAAGAACCTGCTGATCGAGGTACATACACAGCTACTCAATCCGCAACAATCCATATATGTATACATTGCGTTGACACTACTTTTTTTCGCGGGGCACAGGAACTCCTGCAGCGAGTGGCGCAGCTTGAAGATGCATACGAACAGGAAAAGCTTGATCATGAGCGCGAGAAGCGCTTCAATCGAGATATCCAGGTACATGAGATGGAACTAATGGGGCAGGTCTCTCGGTTCCAACTTTCCATGGTGGGTCTGACACTATAGTTCCCGCAACGCAGTCTGTGCTGACCTCAACTTCCTCACTGCATTCCAGAACCGCCAACCCTACATAATCGTTCTCTTGGACGGGTCTGGGTTCATTTTCAAGGATGCGTACCTCAAAAAGGGGACACAGGGCGGGAATCTCGCAGCCCAGAAGCTTCACGACGAGCTTGAGGCCTTTAACGCCAACCAGCTTCCCAGCGCCAAGGGCCCCAAATTGTTGACAAGAATGTATATCAATGTGAAAGCACTAAGCGAGACCTGTATTCGAGGCGGCATAACCACCGATCCGTCGTTGCTGCAGGATTTCATTCGCGGCTTCAATAGTTGCTATCCTTCGGTTGACATCGTGGACACGGGCGCCGAAGCGGATAGTGCGCACAATAAGATTGCAGGTAAGCTTCTCGTCAGTCTCCATCCTGCATTCAATCCACGCTGATTCGACCATCATCTTTATGCAGAGGCCTTTGAGCTCAATCTCTACAATTGCCACTGCCATCAAATCCTCCTGGGCTGTGCGGATGAGAATTCCTTCTTTCAGGTTCTGGGAGATCACCTTGACGACAAGGACCTGATGGGGCGAGTGACCTTGCTCGAAGCATTGCCTTTCGGTGAGAGCTTGAATGCCGTCAGCTCATCGTTCAGGACATTGCAGTGGCCGGAGATCTTCCGTGACTCGAAAATTTTTCCCATCTGGTCTCCCTGGAAAGCTGCCGTGGCCACGCAGCCCCGCTCCCAGCTCACTCCGTCACCCAAGCCGGAGACAAAGCTCTCTCCACGGTCTGCGAACCAAGCGTCCACAACCCCCAGCGTATCACTATCGCTCGCCTCATCCAGACCATCTAGCCCAGAAGAAGAATTCCAGGTGGTGCGCTCCAAAGCGGCCGCCCCCGCACAACCCAAGGTCGTCGAGCGAAACAAGTACGGGCAACGAGTTGACAAGCTCGACATGAAGAAGATAAACCAGCAGGACATGAATCGCCTCAAAAAGCTGAAGTTGTGCAATTACTACCATCTGCAGGGGGATTGTCCTGTACATGACTGCCAGCATGATCACTCGCACAAATTGACCAGGAGCGAATATGTAATGCTGGCAGCCATTGCTCGCATGATCCCCTGCCGCTATGGACTGGAATGCCATGACCCCGAATGTACGTTTGGACACCGGTGTCCCTATAGCGAACCGGGCCAGAGAGAGTGCCATTGGGGCTCCAGTTGTCGGTTCGAACCAGCCTCGCATGGAATCGATACCACTGTTGTGAAGGTGACTAAGATTTAGCGTTCCTGACCACAAGCATATCTAGTATGATGATAAGCTTTTGACCCTTTGTTTTCCTTTATCTCTTCTCATTCTGAGGACAGCCCTTGGAAGCGCTGGTTTCCTTGTAACGCTGCTCGCTTTCACTCGAGGTAGCCTTGAGTTGGTGCATTTGACATAGGTTTGAGCATACGGAGCGGTCTCATTCTATTCAGATTCATAACGTAACGTAAATCCAGAATAAAGGTATTGCCCCATAGATAATACCCCCGAGGTCACCACCAGGTCATACAAGATGATTGGATGCAATGAATCAAGACGTGAAGATCTGAAAACCCAAGCCAAACCTTGAAAATGACCTTCGACGCATGACGTTCAGGGTATAGTCAAGGTAGAAGAAGATAAGAATCGTCACCTCAACCTCCTCTCAAGCCTCGATTGTGGTCATGAACATCGCAAACCGCCTCTCCCAGCCAAAGCAGCCCTCATGGGTACATGCCGGGGCAACATCGCCGCCGTCGCCGCCGCCGTCGCTGCCGCCGCCGCCGTCGTCGTCGACATCAACTGTGTCAATACAATGTTTGCACCTGACCCCATATTCCTGAATACAGCAATTGAACGGTTGCTGAGATAATGCACCTAGATTATGTGGTGCTTCAGCGCCTTTCTCTCTGGCCGCTCGTTTAAGTTCCTCTAGATTGCCCCAGACATGGAACAATTTTTCTCGCAGATTCGCAAGGTCGACCGGATTTCTCCTGAGGCTGAGCGATGACGATTTGGTACAGCGTCAGTCGATGGGATCTGTGTAGAAGATGAACGATTGTGACTTACTCTACCGCATCAATGCCGTGGAGGTACACTGCCTCGCCCTTGGAGACAAACAATCTGATTTGTTGCTTGGCTTGTCCTGCTGGGGGTGGGGGCACGCTCTCGACTAGGAGACAGAAGCGCCACTCCCAAGTCATGAAGCCGTTGTCTTCTCTGTCACTGCCTTCACTTGATGCGGCTCGGGGAACTGGGACCGAGAAGTCTTCCAGATCATGAGGGAAATAATCGACCACGCGGACTTTCGTTCGATAGCAGAAGTTCTGGAAGGGAAAGCGGTATTCGATGTTGTCCGGTGACCGGTTGGTGTGCTCTTCAGAGGCGATTATAGCTTCGAGACTCCGGGTGGGAACTGACGGGTTGCCAGCGCGTACTATTATGGATCGTTAATTTCAGCATTCCTGGAACCTGTCCCTATAAAGTGACTGACCGTTAGGGTTTGCTTCGTAGCGACCCCGGTTGGTGACGGGCGGGGCCAGAGGCTGTTGGCCGTCCGCAAGGGCTTCCTTCTTCCGCGTCTTTGACTTGACCTTCTTGGGAGCCTTCTGGTTGTCTTCCTCAGCGGGCTTTCGTTTTCGGGGGTGCGATTCCCAGTATGCGGTTTTGCGGTCGATCAACTGCTGGGCTCGCACGTCCTTGTGAGGTTGCA